ATCTCCCCTGCCTCCCCCGGGCACAGCCCCAGCAGTGCTGCTCCGTGGGAGAATAAATAAATAATGAATAGATAAATTCTTGACTGCTCACACATCCCTGAGGAAGCAGCCGCCAACACGGGGCAGTGACAGGCCGGGCCGTCCCTCGCCCTCAGGCTTCTCACATGTCCCCGGGACATAAAGGGGCCGTGGTGCCATTAGCACCACAGGCCTTCACCCCCGGGTTTCTGTGAGCAGCAAAGGCTGCTCGAGCTGCCCCTGTGTTGCCCCTCTCTTCCCAATCCGGTGGTGTTCTGATGGGAATTCTCAGTTTTTGTGCTCAGCCTGCTGGGGCAGCAGGTGGGAGTCGGGTAGGCACACAGGGACCCTGAGGGTGGTACACAAGGGTCAAGGAATGACTTCTGGCCTGTGCTGATGGCAGAGAATGTGGGCCTGAAGGCAACTAATAATGTAAATACACACCTGGAAACGCGGCATTGCTAAATTTAGGATACGAGTATTTGTAAATGAGTATGTCACCAACCAAAGCGAAACTTCACGAAAATAAATCTTCACTTACGTTTCCACTGTTCCAAATTCAGAATATTTATGGCTATGACAATGATGGTGATTTTATTCTCCTTACAAAACCGCTCACTAGAACCACAAAAACTAAGCTCTCTTGTTCCTGCCTCTTATTTAAAGCAATTTTAAAAATTATTTAATTGGAAATTTTTGAAAGGCATCCAAAACAGGAGAGAAAAATACACATTAAAATTGTAATCCAAAGTAAACAGAAAACTAAGACATAATTTGAAATCCCTGACCACTATGCTTTTTGCAGGAAAACTGTATCAATATGCATGTAAACTCGGACAGGAAGTTAAAAGTCAATGTCCTGGTGGTATTTCTAGTTTTGTGGCAATTTTCAAGTAATAACAATTGTGTCAACGCCAACAGGGGTGTCCCTGTTGAGAACTTTTGTTGGATGCTTTGAAGTCTGACTGGCCAGAACTTTACCCATAGGGATCCCAGCCCTTAAAATATTCTGGCCAATGCATTTTTATCAATCCCAGATTGAAATCAATGAGCCTACACATCAGAATGAAGTTCAACAGATGTGCATCATGATTGCAGGATCATAGGCCATTACAATAAATTGGAAAAAACATCCTTTCAGTGTTTTGTTGTCTAAACCAGCAGTTGGAAGACAAATTTATTATTTATTACTCATTAATTTAGTTCCTAGCAATGTCAAATTGTAATCACACTTATTTACAGCTGTATGGGCATCATATGACCAAAAAATACATCAGTCACATCTCTTCTGCAAAATCTGCCATGCCAGGCACAGGCTGGCACCCCAGGGCTGCCACCACCACTCTGTAATCA